TGGGGCCCCTCCTGTCCCCCGGTCGTGTGTGTCCCCCCCCCCCCCCGTCCCGTCCCGAGACCCCCAACCGGAACCCTGTCTGCCATGGTCTGGGCAGTGGGCACTCTGGGAAGTGGGCAGGCAGTGGGGTGCTGTCGTTTCTTTTTTCTTTTCAGTGGGGTGGTGGTTGGTGGTGAGGAGGGAGGCATGACGTCACCGATAACGTCACCGATGACATCACTGACCTGTGTGATGCCAGGGAGCCAGGGAGGAGGCTGCATTAGCATGATTGGCCCCCGGGCCCCCAGCCACGGCTCTCCTCTCCTGCTTTGGTGCTCCTCCTGTGGACGCTGTGGCTGAGATAAAGTAAGGGGGCTTTTTCCAGTCCGTGCCACTCAGGGGCCAAATGGGCTTAACGGGTTCTGCTCCAGCAGGGCCTGCCGGGGTCCACGCAGGTTAGGGGCTGTCGTTGTTGCTCACACACGTGCTACATTATCCCAACCACCCCCAATATATAGCACTGTACACCCCCTCCCATAGACACACACAGAAGCCATAGAAACAGAACACAACCCACGAATAGACCCAACAGTAACACACTGCAGGCAGCAAGGTGACTGAGGCCATGATAGTCATTCAACATGCACTGGACACTGCTCTCAGTTAAGTGTTGGCGGAGAAAACAAGACGATGGATGGAGACAGAAATTAAATATGGACCTGGTTTTCATTCTGGACTTGTGTATATTATGGATTCATGTTATGTACAGAGGCTTGCGAAAGTATTCACCGCCCTTGGCATCTTTCCTATTTTGTTGCCTTACAACCTGGAATTAAAATAGATTTTTGGGGGGTTTGTATCATTTGATTTACACAACATGCCTACCACTTTGAAGATGCTAAATATTTTTTATTGTGAAACAAACAAGAAATAAGACAAAAAAACTGAAAGCATAACTATTCACCCCCCCAAAGTCAATACTTTGTAGAGCCACCTTTTGCAGCAATTATAGCTGCAAGTCTCTTGGGGTATGTCTTGGGGTATAAGCTTGGCACATCTAGCCACTGGGATTTTTGCCCATTCTTCAAGGCAAAACTGCTCCAGCTCCTTCAAGTTGGATGGGTTCCACTGGTGTACAGCAATCTTTAAGTCATACCACAGATTCTCAATTGGATTGAGGTCTGGGCTTTGACTAGGCCATTCCAAGACATTTAAATGTTTCCCCTTAAACCACTCGAGTGTTGCTTTAGCAGTATGCTTAGGGTCATTGTCCTGCTTGAAGGTGAACCTCTGTCCCAGTCTCAAATCTCTGGAAGACTGAAACAGGTTTCCCTCAAGAATTTCCCTGTATTTAGCGCAATCCATCATTCCTTGAATTCTGACCAGTTTCCCAGTCCCTGCCGATGAAAAACAACCCCACAGCATGATGCTGCCACCACCATCCTTCACTGTGGGGATGGTGTTCTCGGGGTGATGAGAGGTGTTGGGTCTGCGCCAGACATAGTGTTTTCCTTGATGGCCAAAAAGCTCAGTTTTAGTCTCATCTGACCAGAGTACCAGCTTCCATATGTTTGGGGAGTCTCCCACATGCCTTTTAGCGAACACCAAACGGTGTTTGCTTATTTCTTTCTTTAAGCAATGGCTTTTTTCTGGCCACTCTTCCGTAAAACCCAGCTCTGTGGAGTGTACAGCTTAAAGTGGTCCTATGGACAGATACTCCAATCTCCGCTGTTGTCACGCTCTGGCTCCGGGACTCTGTAATTTGAGCCAGGGTGTTTCATTCGTTGGGTGTATTCTATGTTTGTATTTCTGTTGGGTTTATTCTATGTTTGGTCAATGACTCCCAATCGGAGGTAACGAGTGTCAGCTGTCGGTCGTTATCTCTGATTGGGAGCCAATTTAATCTGTATGTTTTCCTGGGGTGTTGTGGGTTTTTGTTCCGTTTCGGTATGTTTAACCGTTGGACTTCACGAGTGTGTTTTGGTTTGTTCGTTAATTAAAATAAAGTCATGTTTGTATCACACGCTGCGCCTTGGTCCGCTTCCTGTAACGACGAACGTGACAGCTGTGGAGCTTTGCAGCTCCTTCAGGGTTATCTTTGGTCTCTTTGTTGCCTCTCTGATTAATGCCCTCCTTGCCTGGTCCGTGAGTTTTGATGGGCGGGCCTCTCTTGGCAGGTTTGTTGTGGTGCCATATTCTTTCAATTCTTTAATAATGGATTCAATGGTGCTCCGTGGGATGTTTAAAGTTTTGGATTTTTTTTTTATAACCCAACCCTGATCTGTACTTCTCCACAACTTTGTCCCTGACCTGTTTGGAGAGTTCCTTGCTATTCATGGTGCCGCTTGCTTGGTGGTGCCCCTTGCTTAGTGGTGTTGCAGACTCTGGGGCCTTTCAGAACAGATGTATATACAGTGGGGAGAACAAGTATTTGATACACTGCCGATTTTGCAGGTTTTCCTACTTACAAAGCATGTAGAGGTCTGTAATTTTTTATCATAGGTACACTTCAACTGTAAGAGACGGAATCTAAAACAAAAATCCAGAAAATCACATTGTATGAAGTAATTAATTAGAATTTTATTGCATGACATAAGTATTTGATCACCTACCAACCAGTAAGAATTCCGGCTCTCACAGACCTGTTAGTTTTTCTTTAAGAAGCCCTCCTGTTCTCCACTCATTACCTGTATTAACTGCACCTGTTTGAACTCGTTACCTGTATAAAAGACACCTGTCCACACACTCAATCAAACAGACTCCAACCTCTCCACAATGGCCAAGACCAGAGAGCTGTGTAAGGACATCAGGGATAAAATTGTAGACCTGCACAAGGCTGGGATGGGCTACAGGACAATAGGCAAGCAGCTTGGTGAGAAGGCAACAACTGTTGGCACAATTATTAGAAAATGGAAGAAGTTCAAGATGATGGTCAATCACCCTCGGTCTGGGGCTCCATGCAAGATCTCACCTCGTGGGGCATCAATGATCATGAGGAAGGTGAGGGATCAGCCCAGAACTACACGGCAGGACCTGGTCAATGACCTGAAGAGAGCTGGGACCACAACTCAAAGAAAACCATTAGTAACACATTACGCCATCATGGATTAAAATCCTGCAGCGCACGCAAGGTCCCCCTGCTCAAGCCAGCGCATGTCCAGGCCCGTCTGAAGTTTGCCAATGACCATCTGGATGATCCAGAGGAGGAATGGGAGAAGGTCATGTGGTCTGATGAGACAAAAATATAACTCCACTCGCCGTGTTTGGAGGAAGAAGAAGGATGAGTACAACCCCAAGAACACCATCCCAACCGTGAAGCATGGAGGTGGAAAAATCATTATTTGGAGATGCTTTTCTGCAAAGGGGACAGGATGACTGCACCGTATTGAGGGGAGGATGGATGGGGCCATGTATCGCGAGATCTTGGCCAACAACCTCCTTCCCTCAGTAAGAGCATTGAAGATGGGTCGTGGCTGGGTCTTCAAGCATGACAACGACCCGAAACACACAGCCAGGGCAACTAAGGAGTGGCTCCGTAAGAAGCATCTCAAGGTCCTGGAGTGGCCTAGCCAGTCTCCAGACCTGAACCCAATAGAAAACTTTGGAGGGAGCTGAAAGTCCGTATTGCCCAGCGACAGCCCCGAAACCTGAAGGATCTGGAGAAGGTCTGTATGGAGGAGTGGGCCAAAATCCCTGCTGCAGTGTGTGCAAACCTGGTCAAGACCTACAGGAAACATATGATCTCTGTAATTGCAAACAAAGGTTTCTGTACCAAATATTAAGTTCTGCTTTTCTGATGTATCAAATACTTATGTCATGCAATAAAAGGCAAATTAATTACTTAAAAATCATACAATATGATTTTCTGGATTTTTGTTTTAGATTCCGTCTCTCACAGTTGAAGTGTACCTATGATAAAAATTACAGACCTCTGCATGCTTTGTAAGTAGGAAAACCTGCAAAATCGGCAGTGTATCAAATACTTGTTCTCCCCACTGTATACACTGAGATCATGTGACACTTAGATTGCACACAGGTGGACTTTATTTAACTAAGTATGTGACTTCTGAAGGTAATTGGTTGCACCAGATCTTATTTAGGGGCTTCATAGCAAAGGGGGTGAATACATATGCATGCACCTCTTTTCTGTTATTTATTTATTATAATTTTTTTTAACAAGTTATTTTTTACATTTCACTTCACCAATTTGGACTATTTTGTGTACGTCCATTACATGAAATCCAAATAAAAATATATTTAAATTACAGGTTGTAGTGCAACAAAATTGGAAAAATGCCAAGGAGGATGAATACTTTGCAAGACACTGTATGGGTGACAATGCTCTGTATTCTAGAGAGCCATGGGCCAATTCTACCTGAAGCTAGCTTCCCCAACTCTATGCATGGTGTAGAATGTACTGCCAAGTCTTTGAAAACTACAGATTACTTGGTGTAAACAAGCAGCCTAAGCACCTAAAGTTGACCTATGTGAAGTCAAAACCTGGACCATCAATGTGGGGTCTAGGGACTCCCTTGGTATTTTGTATTTTATTAGGATCCCCATGAGGTGTTGCGAAAGCCGCAGCTCCTCTTCCTGGGGTCCACACAAAACATGAACCATTACATAATACAGAACATGAATAGACAAGAACAGCTCAAGGACAGAACTACATACCCTTGGCCAAAGGTCTGGATGGTTAGGAGGTGTATGCAACAGTCAAGAGGTGTGTGCTGTTTATTGGCTTGCAAAGCAATCAATCAATCAACAATCAAGCCAATGAAACATGAGAACAGGCAGGTAGGCGGGGACTCAGACAGACCGATAGACAGGGTGGAATGGAGAGCATCTGGGTCAGGTGGAACAGCTGTTGGAACAGAAACATCATGACACACATATGATACAGACAGACAGTACTACAGACTGTAGGTAAAGGGAACTACAGACAGAGGGTCAGGGGTATAGAGAGGGTATGGAGTCAACAGCCATACAGAACAACTACAGACAGTAGTGAAGGCAGAGTGTGCGGTATGACTGATGATAGGGATCGAAAGAAAGGCATGTCCAGTGACGCGGGGATGACTGAGCTTTCTGTCCGTCTGTTGCTCGGTCTGTCCGTTTGTCTGTCTGTCCCTCCATCCGCCTGTCTCTCAGTCAGTCAGTCTATCTATCTGTCTGTCTTTCCGTCTCTCTGTCGGTCCGTTCATCTGTGTTTTTGTCTGTCCGGCCGCCAATCCTCCTACTTGTCTCTGTCGGTCTGTCCGTCCCTTTCTCTCTGTCAGTCAGTCCGTCCGTTTGACCCACCTCTGTAGTTGATGATCTCAGTGCCGAGCACGGGGGTCATCTCCAGTACAGTGATGAAGGCCTTGTCCATGGAGGTGAGGGGGAAGGGAGACATGCGGTGCCGGCGAGCCACCTTGGTGATGTCCACCGCACTGTGACCTGATGGACAGAGAGAGCGAGACAGGAGAAAGGTCAAAGGAGTGTGATGGAGAGGATAGTCGTCTTTCACCATCACACACACAAACACGCATGTGAGAACATTCACGCATACAACCCCATCACACAGTCATAGTAAGTAAAACTTTTCTTAAATGAAGCAGCTATCAGAAAAGTCAGTGCTAGTAAGAAAAGCCAAGTGCAAGTGTTAGTCTTTCACTCTCAACTTTTGTGAAGACAACTCGTTTTTTCTCCTGAGTTTTATTAGGTATAAATAATTGAAACCAAAATTGTGATAATCTTTAAATAATCGAACCGACCTCAAAAAGCACTAATCGCTTAGCACTAACACACACATACACACACTCTCACAGAAAATTCTCAATCAAATAACTTACTAGCTCTCAGGATGTTCTCTTTGCTGCCACACCGTGATTGAACCTACATATATAGAGAGAAATGGTTGAGGTGAGACCACAATGGGAATAGCAGCCTCTGTCCAACAAGGATAAAAGCATTCCACACTGGCTCTAACATATTGGAATGACCATATACATTCTACACATCCATCAACTTCTAATGCATAACATAAGGACAATCACAATCAAAACAATCCTCAGAACATGAATGGCAATAAATAAATCGATAAGATGAGGATCCCTTAGGCCAAGGATAGTGGATTAGTCTCACTGAGCAGAACATGTGTATGGGGTAGGTGGGTGGGGAGGTGGGAATGTTTAAGGGGCACTGCTTCATTGGATTGTACCCCATGTGGGCTTAGGTTTGGCTTAGAGTTGGTTTGGGAAGAGGTGGGATTCGCTTCACATCCCAGTACAGCTGTCTTCTACAGGTGTTTATATAGAACACTGTCTGCAGGACGTAGGAACCCCTAGCTGGAATCTCTGAGACCCAATGCCCCTGGCCTAAAAGGTGAGTGGCACATGAGCTAGCTAAGGTCTGGTGGAACAGAGACAGAGACCCTCTCTACCACAGTACGACCAAGATTAAATCAACCAACCAACCACAACTCAAAAAAGGACCAACACTACTGATGACACACCAACGCAGTCAAAAACACTGACAGAAAGAGAGAGAGAGAGAGAGAGAGAGAGGGGGTAGGGAGGGATGACAGTGAGGAGACACAGCATGGTCCTACAGCCCACACGAACAAAAGCGAGAGACCAGAACTACATGGCATCTTAATGGAGAAAAGAACAGAGGATGAGCAGAGAAAAAGACTACTAGAGAACGGAACGGAACTGATAATCCACAGATTCCACCACCACACCATACAGCTACTCAAAAAAGGAGAGAATGTACAGTGAGGGAAAAAAGTATTTGATCCCCTGCTGATTTTGTACGTTTGCCCACTGACAAAGAAATGATCAGTCTATAATTTTAATGGTAGGTTTATTTGAACAGTGAGAGACAGAATAACAACAAAAAAATCCAGAAAAACTCATGTCAAAAATGTTATAAATTGATTTGCATTTTAATGAGGGAAATAAGTATTTGACCCCCTCTCAATCAGAAAGATTTCTGGCTCCCAGGTGTATTTATACAGGTAACGAGCTGAGATTAGGAGCACACTCTTAAAGAGAGTGCTCCTAATCTCAGCTTGTTACCTGTATAAAAGACACCTTCCCACAGAAGCAATCAATCAATCAGATTCCAAACTCTCCACCATGGCCAAGACCAAAGAGCTCTCCAAGGATGTCAGGGACAAGATTGTAGACCTACACAAGGCTGGAATAGGCTACAAGACTATCGCCAAGCAGCTTGGTGAGAAGGTGATAACAGTTGGTGCGATTATTCGCAAATGAAAGAAACACAAAAGACTGTCAATCTCCCTCGGCCTGGGGCTCCATGCAAGATCTCACCTCGTGGAGTTGCAATGATCATGAGAACGGTGAGGAATCAGCCCAGAACTACACGGGAGGATCTTGTCAATGATCTCAAGGCAGCTGGGACCATAGTCACCAAGAAAACAATTGGTAACACACTACACCGTGAAGGACTGAAATCTTTCAGGGCCCGCAAGGTCCCCCTGCTCAAGAAAGCACATATACAGGCCCGTCTGAAGTTTGCCAATGAACATCTGAATGATTCAGAGGAGAACTGGGTGAAAGTGTTGTGGTCAGATGAAACCAAAATCGAGCTCTTTGGAATCAACTCAACTCGCCGTGTTTGGAGGAGGAGGAATGCTGCCTATGACCCCAAGAACACCATCCCCACTGTCAAACATGGAGGTGGAAACATTATGCTTTGTGGGTGTTTTTCTGCTAAAAGGACAGGACAACTTCACCGCATCAAAGGGACGATGGACGGGGCCATGTACCGTCAAATCTTGGGTGAGAACCTCCTTCCCTCAGCCAGGGCATTGAAAATGGGTCGTGGATGATGGGTATTCCAGCATGACAATGAACCAAAACACACGGCCAAGGCAACAAAGGAGTGGCTCAAGAAGAAACACATTAAGGTCCTGGAGTGGCCTAGCCAGTCTCCAGACCTTAATCCCATAGAAAATCTGTGGAGGGAGCTGAAGGTTCAAGTTGCCAAACGTCAGCCTCGAAACCTTAATGAATTGGAGAAGATCTGCAAAGAGGAGTGGAACACAATCCCTCCTGAGATGTGTGTAAACCTGGTGGCCAACTACAAGAAACGTCTGACCTCTGTGATTGCCAACAAGGGTTTTGCCAACAAGTACTAAGTCATTTTTTGCAGAGGGGTCAAATACTTATTTCCCTCATTAAAATGCAAATCAATTTATAACATTTTTGACATGCGTTTTTCTGGATTTTTTTGTTGTTATTCTCTCTCACTGTTCAAATAAACCTACCATTAAAATTATAGACTGATCATTTCTTTGTCAGTGGGCAAACTTACAAAATCAGCAGGGGATCAAATACTTTTTTCCCCTCACTGTATGTTAGAATAATAAATAGATTGCTACTGAGGAAAGAGTGAGTGATAGAAAGAAGAGAGACAGAGAGAGAGAAAGAAAGAAAGAAAGAAAGAGAGAACGACGGGGGGGGGGGGGGGGGGGGGGGTAGTTACTCGCGAGTCGTAGGTCCTGCTATGGCCTCTGCGGTCCTCGTTGAGCCCCTCCAACCTAGAGTGGAGCTACATTACAGTAGCGTATGGACAGGACAGCACATGACAGAGACAAGAGTTTTACAACAGACAGACAGAGCAGAGCAGAGGAACGCTAGGAAACAGTAGCTACAAGTCATCAGCAGTTTAAGGCTCGGTAACCCACCAGGGTAGGAATAAACTCATCTATAACCCAACTAGAGGTCGTCAAGTTCTAGAGTTGACGGAGCGGATGAAGTGATAAAAAGAATGAGAGAACACAGAACGATGTGGGCTCAGCGTGAAGAAGGAAGACTGAGCAGGTGCAACACACCGTTACTGAAACTAACCCGTCTAAACACATTTCAAAACAGATGCACGGTAAGACATTGAGCAGTACTGACTCGGGTAATGGTGGGGGTGGTGGTGGAGGGTATATTTAGTAGAACCACCTGGCATCATGTTTTGTTGAACAGGTCTGTACAGTACACCCATCTTAGTATCATAAGTGGAAGGGAAATAATGGTCGTGCAGGCAACAAAACAAAGGCTAGCAGTGAGATGAGGTGAAGGTTGGGGAAATGGGCTATGGAGGATTCTGTCAACATTGGCCTTCTGTAATACTATGGATCAACCCGCCTAGGCTGGAGATAAACAGGCTAGACAACATAAATAATAGTAAGGCAGGAGCTCAGCTCCCCTTAAGCACTCAACCTAAACAACAACATTGCATTAGACAAACAACAGCGACTACACAGATGGATGAGAGATCATCACAATAGCTAGACACACACACACACACACACACACACACTCCAATGAGCAGATACGTAGGCAGCCAGCTGCCTTATGTTCAGGCAGTCTCGTCTGCCTTTACCATGACAACGGTCTCACAGGAACATGACAAGTGGAAGGAACATAGTCACTCGCTTCACTGTGGGGTCGCTGATGCTCTCCATCTGCCAGCACTGGGTCTCTCTCTCCCTTTCTCCTCTCTCTCTCTCTCTCTCTCTTCTCTTCCATCTTTCTTCCGCTGCTCATTATGCCAACACCAGACGTCATGAATGAAACAGTGAGGCGAACAGAGAAGGGAAGGATTGGGTGAATAATTGAATGAATAATTGAATGAATAAATGACTGAGTGAATAAATGAATGAAGGGGAAGGAAATATGATTTTTGTCTTCGCCAGATGCTGCAAAAGATACTGAGAAACAGACACAGTGACGGTACACACACACACACACCCACCATGTCCACGTCCACATTAAGTCATCAAGATGAGATGAGATGTGAAGCAGAAACAGATGATGTTCATGTTGATGAATGCCAATGAGGACTCTGATTACTGGGGACTAAAAGAAAGACATGACGGCCCAATAAATAAATAAAATACAAGGTGATTACCCAATCAGAGGGATCGATCACAGCCTGTGGGCCAGGATAGCAATAGTGCTAAATGCCCTCTAGTGATAAAGGGAGCCTGTCACAGACCTGAGATGACAGGAGGCCTTTCTGATGGCCCTGAGAGTGGTGTGTGTGTGTGTGTGTGTGTGTGTGTGTGTGTAACCATTTACCTGGTCCAAGGTAGAGTACCTAGACTGGAGCGTGATGACCTCATCCAGGTGAGCCCTGAACTCTCTCCGTGCGGCCTGGAGAAAGCCACAGGACAGTCACTCACCTGGTCCACACACACACGGCTCATACTTTCAAACATTAAACAAACACGGACAACCATGCCAAATACATACACACACACACACACACACACACACACACACACCTCCAATTCCCACTTGTCCAGACACACACTGGTCAAACCCACTACAAAGCAAGCACACCTGCTGAGACTGATGAGAGATGAAAGAGAGACTACACAGGTAATGACTGACTGCAATGAACTACTAACAATTAGCCAAACAAACAAAGACAAATCAAACATGAAAAAACGCCCTGAACCGTATGGATATGAACCTACTTTATACATTAACTATCATTGACTCAGCAGCAAGGAAAACAAAACAAACGTTGTGGTGTCTCAATGCACACAAAGCAAAAGACCATGGTTACTCATCCCATGGTTCTAATGGTAGTGTGACGATTAGGACAGGAGGGTATTTTTTAAAGTATTGTTCTAAGAGTGGATTAGATTTAAAGCCTAAGGAACCAAAGAGTGAGGCTGCCTTCCAAATGGCCCCCTATTCCCTATGGGACATGGTGAAAAGTAGTGCACCATAAAGGGAATAGGGTGCCATTTGGGACGCAGTCAGGGAGGGTTTATAATGAAGAGAAGTTCAGAGATTGACTCTGTCTCTCCTACAGCTACACTTTGTGTGTGTGTGTGTGTGTGTGTGTGTGCCGCAGCCGAGTGTGTGTGTGACAGATACTCCAGCTCAGAGCAGGAGGTCATCAGTTCGCACGACACTGAGGGGCTTTAGAACAAGGGAAGGATAAAAAGATACATCGAAAAATGATGAATAATGACGTTCTACGATAATAAAAGAAAAAGGGTTGAAAAATAAACACACGGGTCAAACAAACAACATTTAGCCGGTAAACTTAAAAACTCAAGAAATACCCTACAACAACACAACAAAATAACACTTTAAAACCTTATATAGAGTATCTCCAGATTTATAAACTCTTTGGTCATCAGTGAGATGCATGCCTGTTTGAGAGGTTGGGGGGATTACAGTAAGGGGAGAGGAGGGGAGAGGCAGGTGGAAGGATAGCGAGAGGGGACGACAGGAGGAAAGGATGGTGGGTCTCGAAGGAAGCAGGAACGAGGGTATCCGATGGAGGAAGGGAGATAGAAATGTGGATGGGGTGATTGCCACGGCGACGCAGGAAGATTGACACATGCTGAGGTACCTCAGAGACACTATAAGTGGATGAGCAGGAGGGGAGCCGGGCCTAGGGACGGTGCCGTGGGAGACAGCGAGAGGGGGAGAGGGAGAGAAAGGGGAAAGAAGAGGTGAGGAAAATAGGGGAAGAGGGGAAAGGAGGGAGGGAGAAGAGAACAGGATTAACACACAGCAGCCAGTGGCAGCCGCAGGCAGGGCGAGGCAGGAGAGGGAGGACAGACCAAACAGTGCCCCTACTGGGCTGGTGGACAACAGTTGCATCTCACACTGGCCCTGGACACAAATACAAGGCAAGAAGAGGCCCAGTTCAAATGTTGACAGTCAAACAGGAGTTTTGTCCAATGGTTACGCACTACTCTACTGTACATACAACAAGACGGAGCGCTATCCTCACAGAGTTAAGTTCGAATTTCAATCCAAAGATGCCTGGACTAATACTATGATAAAGAAAGCAAAACCCAGCTCAGTAACAGAGACATCTGCTATTGTTATTATTACATGTGAAAACCGCAATGAGAGTTGTGTCACGCTGGCAAATCAAATGGGCTGCTAAAAGAACAACTGCAGAAGAGGAGTATTGACTTCGTAATGGAGGATGAGAATAGTGCTAAAACAGCATACCAGATGGGATGGGGTCTCACACACGCACAAAAGGTCTAATAGGGGGTGCTTATATTGGTCCTGTTTCACTGCATGTACAAGTGGGTAACCTGTACAAGTATGAGGTGTGAAATGGAGAGTGGGGTCACGGCCGGGGATCAGACATTATTGATGGCCACCCTGGAGCAATTAGGATTAAGTGCCTTGCTCAAGGGCAGATAGACCGATTTTTCACCTTGTGGCCTCGGGGAATTCAAACTAGCAACCTTTCGGTTAATGGCCTGACTAGGCTACCTACCTAACTCACACACAGACACACACACACACACACACACACGGAATGACACTTTTAGAAAGGGAAGGTGGTATCACACACATTGCTTGGGTTGGGCTTAAGTTTTGTCAGTTTATTCACGTATGAGTCAGGTGGCTCCACATGCACCTTTTCACCTCTTGTTACTGATGTGTAAGACTCAGTGATGTGTGCACGCGTATCTCTACAACAACCATAGCGTCCCTGTGGTTCTCCTTGAGCTGACCTCAGACTCCTGCTCCAATCATCAATCAACGTCTAAAGGGTGTGTGTGTGTGTGTGTGTGTGTGTGTGTGTGTGTGTGTGTGTGTGTGTGTGTGTGTGTGTGTGTGTGTGTGTGTGTGTGTGTGTATTATAGGGGGGCGGGGGGTGCAAGGACAAATCAATGGACATTTATTACAGAGACAAGTGGGTAGGATTGTCATGGGACTGCTGCTCAATACTGATTGTTCATAGTACACAAACACACACACACACACACACACGCAAGCACAAACATACCAACCAATGTTATACTGAACAAAAATATAAAAGCAACATGTAAAGTGTTGGTCTCATGTTTCATGAGCTGAAATAAAAGATCCCAGAAATGTTCCATACGCACAAAAAGCTTATTTCTCTCTAATGTTGTGCACAAATTTGTTTACATCCCTGTTAGTGAGCTTTTCTCCTTTGCCAAGATAATCCATCCACCTGACAGGTGTGGCATTTCAAGAAGCTTATTAACCAGCATGATCATTACACAGGTGCACCTTCTGCTGGGGACAATAAAAGGCCACTCTAAAATGTGCAGTTTTGTCACACAACACAATGTGTCACGCTGCATGAGGCAAATGGTGGTCACACCAGATACTGACTGGTTTTCTGATCCATGCCCCTACCTGTTTTTTAAGGTATATGTGGCCTACAGATGCATATCTGTATTCCCAGTCATGTGACATCCATAGATTAGGGCCTCATGAATTTATATCAATTGACTGATTTCCTTATATGAACTGTAACTCAGTAAAGTCTTTGAAATTATTACGTTTATATTTTTGTTCAGTATAATTATTACCATGACTGTTGTTGTATGAAATTATTATATGTTTCTGTTAACACGAGGGAAACAAAGGCTTGGGAAATGGATATTCTCCCACAGTTAGCCTTATTTATCTGCAGTGCTGTAAATCAGGTCTGGACAGTCGCCAGGTGTGTGTGTGTGTGTGTGTATACCCTTAAGCTTAGCAGTGTGATACCTGGATAGAACCAAGTTGATTATAACCCTCTCTCCAGCCCATCCAGAGCTGGCAGTGTTGTTCGACACAGCCAAGTGCGTAGTAGTGTAAAGCATAGCCAACCTCAATCTGTGGCATGGCATCGCCCACTCTATAGCTAGATTAGGTTGGCGCACACACACACACCTCAGCAGATGCCTCACACACACACACACAAACACTTCACCACACACACACGCGTAGCATCCAGCCGGAAGTGCACGGCCTCTGGGTAAAACAGAAGCTCCTGTTCCTGTTACTCTCCCTCTCCTATATGTTCTCCCGCTCTTATCACCCTCCATCTCTCTCTTCCACCTCATCTGTCCTGAATGCTGTGCCTCACTCCTAATCGCGTTATGCATGTCCTTTATCCATGTGTACAGCTCAGACCCAGAGCCAGCTGCCCATACACCCACTCCTCCCCAGAGGGCACCACTCTGGAGGCACGCAGAACCTCTCCTCACCCCAGCCTCAACTGGCCTCACCCCAGCCTCACCCCTCCTCACCCCAGCCTCACCGCTCCTCACCGCTCCTCACCCCAGCCTCACCGCTCCTCACCGCTCCTCACCCCAGCCTCACCGCTCCTCACCGCTCCACACCCAGCATCACCCCTACTCACCCAGCCTCACCCCTCCTCACCCATCCTCACCCCAGGAAGAGTGTGGAAGGAGACACACACACAGACACACTGCCCCTCTGTGGAGTTGACTAGAGCCAAACAACCCTCTACCACTGTAACTGGACTGAAAGTGAATTATAAACATTATGAAACAGTCCTTGAGTTCTGTTGCGCTGAATATGGGTGATGCTGTCTAACTCTCGCTCCATGTTACAGAGGGGGAAACTATTATGGTGACGAGGCACTACAACCGGTACACAGAGAGAGCGAGGGAGAACCTTAGGTTGCTCTGACTAGTAAACAACCTTGCACAATAGCCATCTCTTACTAATATTGAACTGCTCTCAACAGCACTGACAAGACACTAAGCTTCCAGTAACAGTAGCATCCAAGTCCTGGCTTTCTGCCAACTCCACATCTAGGAACAGCAGCAAGACAGCATTATCACCTGAGGCCAACATCTGAGACCATGTCATCTAAAACCACTGTATCTAATACAGTACTCCCAGTCCAGTTGTTTCCTATTGAGAGAATGGCATGCCTTCTAATCAGATTCAAAACTCACTCAGACCTTTTCACTGAAGAATATGTTTGTTTTATATGATTGTGATTTGCTTTTAGTGTATTGGTGTGTATATTGATGTGTATTGTGTATATAGATGTGTATTGTGTATATTGCTGTGTTTTGTGTATATTGATGTGTATGTTCATCTGTAAAAAAGACCTTTGTCTCAGCATGACTCCCTGTCAAAATAACGGTTAAATAAAACATTTAAAACATACCTTTTATGTGATAGCTAGCTACAGGTTTCAGCAAGCCTAGATAAGCAATGCTACTGTGTGCTAGTATAACCCAGCAAGAGTAGCTGCTGCATCAGCAACAGCTATATATGGAGATGTGAGTGGTAGCTAGCTAATTGAAAACAGTATAGTACAAACTGAGCTATAGTACACTTTTTACACAGTCAAAACACAAACCTTGACAAACAAACACACACACACACGTAATACACCAACT